GACCAGTCAGAAAGGACCTCGGTTTCCTGGTTTTTGTCTTAGTTTGTGGTATGGGACTCTCATCATCATCTTCCTCCTCATCATCATCTTCCTCATCATCATCATCATCCTCTTCATCATCATCCTTGACATCACCCTTGGAATCGTCAGTTACATTCTTAATCTCATCTTGGCTGTTATCTTTAGAAGTTTCCCCTTCTTCCAAAGAATCTTGCATCTCAATATCTGAATCAAATAGAGTGTCGTCAAGAAAAACGCTAGTGTAGATTTTTCCTCAATTAAATCAAATTAAAATCAAACAAAGGTTTCTGCATCGTAGCATTCTAGTGCACATGTCATAATATGACATGATATTTACGTGCAGAAGTTACGAATTTATTTTCCAAAATAACATAATCTTGACTTTAAAACTGTATTTCATAATAATTACAGACAACTCTTATGCTGTTAGATAAATCACTTAATAATCACTTTATTCTGGCAGAAGACTGAGAAGAACATCAAAACTCTTACCCATTTTGCCTTGTTCAAACGCTTTTTSTTTCTGTGAGATCGAGACAGAGGAGGACTGGTATTTATGAACGCAGAACGCAGTCGATAATTGACCGGAAATTATCAAAAACGCTTTTAAAAGTTAGTTATACTATAGAATTATGCATAAATTTAAATTCATAAAAGATTATTGATACCTAAAAAATATATACTTAAACAGATCAAAACATCGTAACACTTTTTTTGTATTTGACTGTCTTCATTATTCGGAATTTACTCGGTGATAAGTCGGTAATACTCGGTAAACTCCGCTAAAAGCCGAACTTGCTCATGATTCGTGACTTGAAGTGCTCATGACATCTGTGGGAACAAGTTTCATTTTCGCCGGTTATCGAGCTGCAACTATTTCCAGGAATTTGCTTCAAAGACGTTCTATTGTCTGCGTTTTTCCATTTCCACAGTCCAGAAATACCTTGACCAGTCTTTTGCGCAGCAAATATTTTTCAGTGATGAGTTCCGAACGAAAGCCCTTTGAAAGACTACCAGCGAGCGTGGTTCCAAGAAACTACAACCTTTCTCTTCAACCAGATTTGAAAGAGTTTGTTTTTAAAGGCAATGAAGTCGTTTCAGTTGAGGTAGGCTGGAGAAATCATGACGTAGTTTATATGTTGTATTCTTAATCATTTCTAATTTTGAGCAAACTGGTTYTCATTTTCATGTCAACTTTAGTAAGCTAATCTTGAAACTGATAACTTAATTCCGTATAAAGAACCAGGAAGTGGTTTTGCAGGGGCAGTGACAGTGAGGGTTATCATCTGCTTCTTTTTTTTTGTTTTGATATTTAAGTGCTTGTCAATCATCCATCATTGATATCATCAACATCCTCACCCCCACACCCACACCCACCGTCATCATCATCATCATAACGGTTGACATTCCTACTTTCACAGGTTACCAAGACAACCAGTGAAGTCATTTTAAACTGTGTKGACATTGCAATCAATTCTGCTAAATTCACTTCTGGTGATGTTGGTAGGTATTAATGGYACTTCATTGGCTGGCCTGATATCCATTGTTTTATATTATACAGCTATTTCATAAACCATTGAATACAGTCAAATCTCTAATTGCGAACACACTCATGACACTCACCCAAGGGTATCTGATTACAGGAGATTCAACTGCAGTGAATACTGTATTTTGTATTMCAAAGCTGCAATGCATTTTTTGTTACTATTAAATAAGCTTAGCTTATTTTCAATGAAACTGAAACCATGAAAACTCCTTTTTAATGTGGATAGAACAATTACCAATGTATTTCATCTTCAGTATTCTACGTTTCCTGAAAAAGCTGTATATCAAAAACTTGTGAACCATGTACACTCAGATATTTTTTACCATCCATTTAAGGTTTTGTTGTTGTTCCTAAACTAAAAAAGGGTTTTTGATTCTCTCTTTTCAGATTTAACTGCAGGTGATATCAACTACAGTAAAGATGATGAAACAGCAACATTAGTGTTTCCTTCTGATCTTCCTGTTGGCAATGGCAGTATACATCTTGATTTTACTGGAGAACTCAATGATAAGATGAAAGGATTCTATCGCAGTAAATACATTGACAATGGCCAGGAAAAGTACTGTGCAGTCACACAGTTTGAGGTATATTTATAGTCTTAATATTGATAGAAAGGGACTTTGATAATCCAGGACATTTCAAGTATATTTAATGTTATGCATAGCTTGTCCAACACTTTGTTGTTGCAGAAAAGAACTTGTATTAATCAGAATTATTCTTTCAGCCTACAGATGCCCGCCGGGCTTTTCCTTGCTGGGATGAGCCTGCCATCAAAGCAACATTTGATGTTACATTAGTTGTACCCAAGGATTTGGTGGCTTTGTCAAACATGGTATGTAATTATCAAATGGGTGAAGATTTTTKTATTTTATGATTAGTTTGTATTATGTATTGTAGTTGGTAATATTTATAATATTTATGTGAAATTAAGCAATTCCATTTTACTTATATTGAGTTGTAATACATTTATATAGAATGTCATTGAAGAAAACCCAGCCGATGATCCTTCCCTCAAGATAGTCAAGTATGCACAAACTCCCATAATGTCCACATATCTACTAGCATTTGTGGTTGGAGAGTATGACTATGTAGAGGATCAAGACCAGGACGGTGTATTGGTACGAGTGTACACACCTAAAGGCAAATCTGTACAAGGAAAGTTTGCYTTGGAAGTAAGTTAGTAAAGTCCCCTCAGTTATTGCTTGACTGCTATGATTGTGACTTGTATTCTCTTATTTAATCAGTTTTAATGTATTTGTATATTTTTTGTATGGTAAAAGGTGGCAGTAAAAACGTTACCGTTTTATAAGGAGTATTTTGGTATCAGTTATCCACTTCCCAAGATGGATTTGATTGCTATTGCTGACTTTGCTGCAGGTACATGCATTTGATAGCAATTGCCAGCTTTCATGTCTGAGCAGGAGGCTGAATTTGAGTTTTAAAATTGAAAAAAATCGCCAAGTTACCTATACCATTTTGAAGAGCACATCAAAATTGATAATATCCTCAAGTTTTATTTAGTACAGATGACTATCTAAGAACTTGAAGCTGTTCAAAAATGTTAAAATTTACAAAAGAATCTATAGATGTGGGGAAAGCAATTCCCCACAAATTATCTATAGATTTACACTTGAATAAGAGAGTTTTTGAATGGCTATAATTTTGGAAATATTGACTCGATTTCCACCAAAGTTTGCTTTTTTATTGATTTAGATTTGCTCTTTCAGATAATGTAGGTCACACAYCTGCTCAGACATGAAAGCTGGCAATTCAGCACAACAGACTCTTGTTATGAGAAGGTCTGACTGATCATAGTTAATAGTTAATCTATTAACTATGGACTGATTTTGCGTGTTTCTTTATTACTTACTTTAGGTGCTATGGAAAACTGGGGACTTGTTACATACAGGTATGTAGATTGCTGTTAACCAGTGTAAGGTATATTTGTTCTCGTGTTAATTGACTGTATTTTAATGTAATAGGGAAACAGCTTTGTTGATTGATCCTGAAAACTCTTCATCAGCAACAAAACAGTGGGTTGCACTTGTAGTTGGTGAGCAGCAGAACATTCCTCTTTACATCAGTTCACTAGATAGACATACATTATTTAGTGAAAAGTAGACATTATAATCT